TACACTCAACAGTGTCTTCTAAAAGTTCTTAAGTTTACACAGTTGTCTATAATCTATTTGTAATTGGTAAAATATTGGTTTGATTTCATTTTTTCCTTCATATGGATACTCAGTTATCCCAGCGCTGTTTAGCCAAGGGCTCATTTCCCCCATTTGTCAACAGGGTCTGTGCATGTGTAGCTCTGTTTCTGTTTCCATTCTTTTGGCGTATTTGTCTAAGTTTTAATTACTTAAAGCAGTATAATAATTCTTGATGTCTTACAAGGCAAGTCTCCTACCTGGTTCTCCTTTAATGAATATCTTGGCTGTTATTATGGCTCTGCACCTTGATATAAATTTTAAAATCACCCTGTCAAGTAGCTCCAAAAACCCTGTAGAAACTTGGACTGGAACTGCAGTGAATCTATAGATGGCTTTAGGAAAAACTGATGTTTTTAATATATTAAATCTTACATTCCATGAAGATGGTATATCTCCCTTCCTTTTTATGTAGGTCTACTTTTATGTCTGTTAGTAAGGTTTTTTAATATTCTTTATAAAGATGTTATACATTTTTGTTATATTTATTTCTAGATACTTTTATATTTCAGATACAACTGCAGATGCTGTCTTTTTAAAATGAACATCTTTATTGAGATATCTACAAACCACAAAATTCACTGATTTAAAATTCACAGTTCAGTGCTTTTAGTTGATTACTGGAATTGTGCAAACACCACCAAATCTGAGATTAGAGTATTTGTATCACCTAGAAGAAGTGCTTTTTCCATTAGCAATCTCTCCCCATTCCCCTCCACCCAGCCCCTGGCAGGGTGGATTGAATGAATGAATGAGTGAGTTAATGGGTTTATGCCTGTGCAGCAAGCTGTATGTTAGACATTGTCCAGCCACAGCCTTTGCCTTTTATTTTGTTTGTTTTTTCCTCCCATCTCTGTTACGGACCTGGTCTCCATGCTAATCTCCCAGTGCTTCCATTCTCCTCCACCACTCTTAATCCTCCACACCCTGGCCAGATAACTTTTCCCAAGGAATACAGGGTTCTAAACACTTCTCTCCTACGAAGCCCTTGGTAGCTCCCTTGGGAACCCAGCTGTGCTTCTACAAGGAAATTCAAGCTGATGACTCAGGTACCTTAGAAACAACAGTTTGGGATGCAACTCTATTGTGACTCAAAGGACTCTTCTGGCCCTTGGTTCGCTGCAGTCCTCAGAAAGTAAACGCAGTCGACCTGATTATTCTCCTCCACTTCCTCCTGAGTCAGAGTTATCTTGGGTTAACTCAGGGAAGAAGCTAAATTAAGCCTTGAAAGCAGGCAGCCTCCATGACAGGCACTTTGCTTAGCTTGAGTGACCGCAATCATGGGGCTTTGGTTTCAAGGGCAGCACTGATTGTATCTCTTTAGACCAACCAAACTCAGCGATCTATTCCCTGCCCTCCAGAGACCAGTAGATGCTGATGCCTCCTCAGGACCCATTCATTCATTCAGTATCTCTTTCCTAAGTACCTGGCCCATGCCAGGCACCATGTTTATATGTGGAGATTCTTGTCCTCTCAGGGCTGGAAGTCTAGCTAAGGAGACTATAAGAAACCAGAGACCCATTAAAGACATAACTGGTACATGGTGTTCTAGATGTCTGTCCAGAGTGGAGAAGGGAGTCGATTTCTAGATTACTGATACCTTCTTGTGACTGTGCAAAGGCTGGGAGTCACTCAAATAAAAGAGAGGATCAATCTAGCACTCACAGACAAGCAAGCAGATACAACCACTTTGAAAAACTGTTTAGCGGTATCTAGTAAAGCTGAACACATGCGTACCCTACACCCCAGCAATCCCTCTCCTGGGCGTATGTAGCTAATAGGAAGTTTGCACACATATAAACTTTACATCCAAAGAAAATTTGAAAAAAATATTGAATTCTAATCAATTTGTGCATGCTGTAGCATTTAAGGGGAAGTATAACAATATTTGCAGTTTACTTTAAAATGCTCCCAAAAAGAAGTCGGATGGATAGACTCATAACAGGATATCTGATAAAGCAAGTACAGTAACAGTGATGGAATATAACTAGTGAGTATATGAGCACTTACTGTAAAATTTTTTTCAGGTTTGGTATATGTTGCAAAAGTTCATACAAAATGTTGGGGAAAATGCATATATATGTTTGCCACGAGCCATGTACAAGAATGTTCCTAGCAGCATAATGGCCTCATACTGAAAGCAGCCAAAATGCCCATCAGCAGTAAAATAGATTCATGCATTGTGGGTCTGTTTTATAATGGGATACTGTTCACAGTGAGAGTCACAGCTATGCACAGCAACATGTGCAAATCTCACCAGCAGAATGCTGGGGGAAACAACACTCAAAAGAGGACACACCATACTACTCTATTTGTATAAAATTCACAGACAGGCAAAGCTAACCTAGGGTGTTGGAAATCAAGATAATGGTTTTTGGGGAGAAAGGAGAGAAGGATATTGAGTGGGGTGCCATGAGCCTCCTGGGGTACTGGAAGGTTCTGTTTCTTGATCTTGGAGCTAGCTAAACAGATGTGACACTTTATCAAACTTTAAGTTTGTGTACTTTTCTGTATGCGTATGATATATTATTAAAAACTGTACTAGGGAAAAAAGAAAATAAAACAGATCCCACTAGAAGCTTTGCCTACCTGAGAAATGAGGATAGACACCCATGGTGGGCCTATCTAGTAAACCAAGCCATTCATTCACTTGTGTGCACATGCATGCTTCATTAATTTCTTGTTTTCCGTGACCACTCGTTTCTCCTTCCTAAAGACATCTATTTACATATACTGTGTTGTGAATCCCGACCTGACTCTCATGGCGTGACCCAGCCCTTTCAGGGTTCATGTGCCCTGAGGATGAGGCACACAGACATTTCATTTTGCAGCCACATTCCCCACCCTCCTGCATACTTGTGATCTTTCCCAGGCAATTACCCTGAGATAACCTTTGACCCCTGTATAGTCAGGGTTCTCTGAGAAACAGAACCAATAAGATATAGATGATAGATAGGAGGTCTCAAGATCTCCCGAGTGAGTCAGCAACCAAGAGACCCAGGAGAGCCGATGGTTTAGTTTCAGTAGGAAGACCAGCAGGCCCAAGACCCAGGAAGAACTGATGTTTTAGTTTGAAGTAGAAGGCAGGAAAAAGCTGATGTCCCAGCTCAAAGGCAGCCAGGCAGGAGTTCCCTTTTACTCTGCCTTTTTGATGCATTTAGGCTTCCTAAAGCCTATCAGATGAGACCCACCCACATTAGGAAGGATCATTTGCTTTACTCAGTCTTCCAATTAAATGGCAATCTCATCTAGAAACATCCTCACAGATACACCCAGGGTGATGTTTTACAAATGTCTGGGCACTCCATGACCCAGTCAAGTTGACAATTAAAATTAACCATCACGTCCCCCGAGCTCTAAAGGCTCAGCTCTCTGATGGAAGAAACGAGGAGGCCCTGGCCCGTCCTCGTCACATCCCACCAAGAAGACAGGCTGCCACCGCCACAGCTTGATCATTTTTGCATGTGGTTTGGATTAGTAATCAATGGAAAAGAAGGCTTCAGCTGCCCACCAAGCCTCTGGACGGCCATGTTTATTATTTTAAAGAATAAAAAGAAGTTATTTTAGTTATTGCAAAATGCATCATACACACAAAAGAATATTTGGAACATGCAGCTACAGTTTAAAGGATAAAAACAAACACCCAGGAACTCCCTACGAGCTTAACAACGGAAAATGGCAAGTGTATCAGAGGCCCCTGGGCTCCTCCCAAGTGGCTTCCCCCTCTGTCCTTGCCTAGAAGAGGCCCTTCACTCTTCTGAGTTTTGTTGAATCAATCCTATGCTGCTTATAAAAGTCAAAGTATATGTCTCTAAATAATGCATTTTTTGGTTTTGCCTATATTTTGAGCCCTGATGAATCGACTCCCTATACATATTCTGCACCCTGCTTTCTCACTTTGTGTTACATGTTGGGGCTTCATTCACGTCACGTGTACCCTCAGTTCATTCATTTTGCTACAGTATATATAATATTACATCAAAGGGGTGTGTCCTTTGCTCAGATCACATGTCCATCTGTTTTACTCTTGGTGCACATTTGGGCAGCTTCCAGTCCTTTGCTGTCACAAATGATGCAAATCCTGCATCTCCAGAGATTTCTCCAGGGTACATGCCCAACCCAGTTGTAGAATGTGCGTCTCTTTGCTTTCTCAGGTGATGCCGAGGAACTTTCAGAATGGTTGTACCAGTTTACACCTCTGCTAGAGGCTATGCAAGTTTCTCATAGGGCTCTTCTCAGCGCCTCGCCATCCTCTCCATCTCAGTGCATCACCTTCCCCAAGTTCCACCCACCCCTGCCCACACTGCAGCCAGCGCAGGGTGTAGTGTGCAGTGTGGTGTAGTGTGCAGTGTGGTGTAGTGTACAGTGTGCCAGGCGATCACCATGTGTGTGGTGGCAGCCTGTCTGCTCTGTGGGATGTGACGAGGACCACGCCAGGGCTCCTTGTCTCCTTCTGCTCTCATTGCTCCAGGGTTGTGATGGTTAATTTATACACTTTGTGCACATGTAAGACAGGACAGCACGCTTCTTGGGTGTGATCCAGTATATGAGTATGTGTGAAATTCATGATGGTGTGGGACAGTGCACATTTTAGTTTGACCGCTATTCAGTGGCCTCTGTTTCTCTCTGCTTCACGGAAATAGGAAAAACAAGCTCAGTAGAGTGGATGGCCCAGGCTGGATTCCTGAGCTAGTCTCTTTATTCCAATGTCGGCACATTCATCCTTGAAATTGATAAGCCATGCTCTGCCGTTTCTCCACGGCAAGAGCAGCATGTCCCCGAATTGGACCCCTGGGTATTTTTTCACTCCCACCTGTGATCTGGTGCCCAGGCATAAAATCCCCTCCCCGAGCAGATCTGCCTGGCTACAGAGAGGATGCGTATCAATGATAATCCTTTGTGCTGCCTCTCTCCACTTACAGGTTAGCCTGGGGAGGAAGATAAAGCCATTTGCAACCAAGATGGTAATCACGAGTGGAAATGATGAAGACAGAGGAGGCCAAGAAAAAGAGAGTAAAGAGGAAAGTATCTTGGCCGTGCTGGGGATTATTGGGACCATTCTGAACCTAATCGTGATCATATTTGTATACATATACACCACTCTGTGAATGCCCGGAGGGTCCCTAAAGGCCTCGGGACGGCCCAAAGACGGGAGCCCTGTGTGTCGGCAGGTCAGTGATTTGACACTCTGCAAACAAGCAGGCTTGAACTTCAAATGCACCTTCGAACTTCATAAAAGGTCACACAAATAAACCAATCCTGCTGCAAGGAGCAGACCCTAAAGCACAATGAATCCAACAAAACTCATTCACACAACAAGGAACTCAGCGTCTTTGGCAAGGGGCTGAAAAGAACACTCGGAAGACCAGCCTCCGGCGCCATCGGGGAGCAGATGGGTGCGAAAATTCACTCTCCCAGATCGCTAATGGATATCACGCATTCGAAAAGAGGAACAGGGCGGATGCAGCTCTCAGCAGCGTGTCTCCGGCGACATGCATTTCATCTTAACTCGATGAGCTGTTTAGTACGAAAAACCACAAGGGCAGTCTCTGACAGACATCCCATTTATCAAAAGTGTCCAACTATTTGATACCAGGAAGATAACTTATTTTTCTTTTTCATTGGCTTGACATGTGTATCTGTTCATATCAAGGTTTATAAATATCTATTTTTTAATAAATGTGCTCTATTTTTTAGCATGAACCAAATATTTGGAGAGGCGCTCCTGGATTCATAGAGCTTTCCTTGGTTCTAACTGCTTCACCCCGTGGACCACCGATGGTCTGTTGTATTGTTATTCTAGTCCTACTTCTCTCATCTTGCATATTTCACCTTTTCTTTCACTCTCTCTTTTTCTCTCTTTTTTGGTCTGAAGGACATTTTTCTGTAATACCAGCCATGGTCTTGTTGGTGCATGTTTTAAGATTGTCCATTGAGTGGCTTTTTGTTCTTATATCAGAGATATAAAACAATCGTGGGCATGTGGACTTAGATGCACTGTATCATTACTGAGAAATTTGCATGAACAAGGGCTGAGTGACAGATCAGCTTTAAAACAATGTCAAAAGGACTACCACTGAAGGAGAGCGCGGCTATGTTTGCAGAACAACTGCGGGACAGAATATTCAGCTTCTTAGTGGCAGCATTATTATTTTATTCTTGTGACCATTCGTAGATCAGATTTTTAGTTTAATGGGCACATACCGCGGTAGAGGGGAAGAACAAGGAGAAAAGCTTAGCATTAGGTGCATAATTCCTTCCTCAGAGAACCACGTGGGATCCTTTTCAAAGTAGATGGGGTGTAAGTGACACCTGGCCTTCCCCTCTGTGAGAGCTCACCTGGGTGTTGCAGGCTGTAAGGACATCCCTGTGAGGGGTGACTTTTCAAGAACACTAGAAGGGGATGGAACAATCGCCCTAAGGATTGCTGTGCCTCTTAAAGCTCCTGGTTTACACCCATATGAAGCTGCTTCATCCCTGGCAGGGATGGTGGAACAAATATGAATTGGCCCTGTTCTCCCAGCTCCCTGAGATAGGCCTTTGCCTGGCTGTAGTGGCATGGCCTTAAAAAGAGGATCAGAATTCCTTCTGCCAGTGCCAGCCTTGCCCATGGGCAAGAAAAGCAGCAGCCTGCCTGGTTGGATTCAGATGATGCCCAGGAGGTCTCTACTGCCAGATCTCTCCCACCTCGTGTTGTGGTATCTGAAATGTCATCATTAGAGAGTCATTTCTTGGGCTTCTTTAAGGGACCAGGCTCATTTATAAAGCCAATGCCCCTGAGCACATGGCTCTGACATTGATTCGTCAGGTGTCTTCTCTTCCCCACCAGAAGGAAGGAAGCTGATGTGCATTTAGGGCCTACTGTGTGCATGGCACTATGCCAGACACTTTGTATTGCTGACGTCATTGAATGCTCACTGTAACCATGTGTAGAAGAAGAAAGAGAGATTGGGAAACTTCCCTGAGATCATGTGGCTGCTAGTGGTGAGTCAGATCTCCAGCCCTGGTCTGCCTGATTCCTTAGCCCAGTGAGGGCCAGTAGGCTGCTGGAGGGAGGGAATGGAGAGGTGGGGACGTCACAGCAAAAGGCCCTCCAGGATCAGGACACAAGTCCAGTGACCTTGCTGAGGGACGGCTCTGCACACCTCCCTCTCCTTCCCCCATAAAAATAAACAATCCCTGGGAACTCCTTGAACACTGGCAGAATATCATACACATCGGGACTTGGGACAGGAGAAGGCTGGTTAGAAATAAAATGGAATGTCCTGGGGAGGGAGCTGTCTAACAGGTTCTGTGTGATTCTAGAAAGACTGTATGAAAATTCTGAACAGTGAACAGAGTAAACAATAAAGGTGCAATGGAAAAACAACTTCAATGTCTTTTCTCAACATTGTGGTATATTAAAACTTCAGTGTCATTTTTGCCTATACATATTTTTGTTTCATTAAAAAAAAAACTGAAGGCAACTGTTAAATGGAAACAGTGGTGTTCGGACCATTGAAGCCCCAGTGATTTGAAATTTACTGAGGGGAACAACTGCTTTTCCAGTGCTCTGAACAGCTCCCCAACGGTTCCTCTAGATTTTCCTGATCCACAGGCTGGAAATAACGCTGCCCATTCGGTGACTGCCTGCCAGCCTGAGCATGGCACTCTCTCCTACAGCCCTGGCATGCCTGGGCGTAGCTCTGTCCTGGTCTAGCAGAGCCCAAGGACAGGCACAGGGCAAACTCAGAGCCTCCCTGGGATGCGAAGGCATCTTGAGTGGGTGTGCAAGGGAGAGGCTGCCCACTGCCCTAGATCTGCAGTCTCAGTGCGCTGAGCCCAGCCTTAACAGCAATAATCATGACACCACCAGGGCTGTATACCCAGCACTTCCCACCCATCCTCAGGGACCCTCAACTGTGTGTGAGGTGTGTGCTTATCTCCATCTTATAAGATGAAGGAAAAGGCTCTAGAAAAGACTATGCCTTTCCCAAGGTTGTGCAGCTGACTCAGCCCTTGGGGCTCTGTGTCCATGTGCCATCGGCACCCCGCATGGCCCAGGCTGTGGGCTGGGACTCCGCTGGACCATCTGACGTGTTCAGCCCCAGGGCAGGCAGCTTCCCACCAGCCCTGCTCCTTGATCTTAGAGCTGGCTGGGGGAGTGTGGCTGAGTTGATGCCTTTCACCTCCACCCTAGGAATACTCAGGAAGCCCGTCTGGCAGTGGAGGCCCCCTGGCACACCAGGGCAGTGTGGCCTGGTGCTCGGGGGCTGCAAGCTACTTGCTTGCCTGTGGCCTGAATTCCATTTCTGTATTATGGTCTGGGTGACAGTGGGCAGTTCACACCAACTCTGTGAGCCTCAAGTTTTCCTCACCAGTACATAGGGGGAAATAATAGCCCCCAGATCCCATCATGTAGGTATTTTTACCCTGTTTAACTGATGCAGAAAGTGATGGTGCGTGAACTTGGCAGACGCCAAGGACGGCGAGCTCACCCCCCCAGGAGCTGGGCTGAGTTCGGGGCTCTGCTGCCCTCCTTTGCAGCCAAAGCATGACATTTAAACCCCCAAGATAAAGAGCTCAGGGAGGCTGAGGTTCAGGGGAGGGGGCAGGATGCCTTTCAAGTTCAATGTGAGGGATTCAGACCCTGTGAAGGCAGAGAATGGGTTTGGGGTCGCAATGATTCTAAGGATGGGGGAGGGGCATGACTGAGGGAACCTTTCCGTAAGATTTTTTTCCTTTTTTTTTTAACCAATATGCCAGCTGAGATCCAGGCAGGACCAGGTCCCACAGTCACAGCTCAGCAATCCCAAGATCTCAAGGGAGGCCTGGGAGAAGAAAGTTTATAGAGATTTTTGTTTAAGGGCTCTGGTTACTGGGGGCTGGACAGCACGCCTTTTCCCAGTGCAAGGTTCTGGGCTTCCTGTGCAAAGTAAATGGTCTTTCAAAGGGTCCTGAACTCTGTCCCTGCCTTAACATCAGGAATGTGGCACCCTAACCTCAAAGAGCACAGCTTTGGGGTGCCCCCACACACAGGGCAGAACAGGCGGGGGCCTTTTTTGCCAGCAACACAGAAACTCAGTTCAACTCTTATTTGTGTTTCTCTTAACCACACATGTATAGCCACAGTTGAAAAGAATTACAATTTCTAAAAAGTTCTATACATTTTTCTTAAAATAACCTCTGAGTATCAGCACCCCGAATTCACCACTGCTAATGCTTAGTGTGTAAGTTACACACCAGGTGGCCCAGGTATCCTCTCGGTGAGACCATTTTGCTTGAGACTTTCCTTGAACACTGAATCGCCCGTGCTCTCTGTTCCCACCAGCTGTCTCCACCGAAACAATCCCATTGGCCATGTAAGCACTTCTGCACTTTTCCAATGGGGCATTTTCCGTTTTCCTAATAGCTGCTTCGGAAACCCAGACTGGCTATGACAACGCCACACATTGGGAAGAGAGTTCCAGAAGCCAAATTCCTGATTCCTCTCCTGAGAGAGCTCTCCTAGACGGTCCTGTGGCCTCCTTTTCCCCAAGGCAGGGCTTCTATTACAGGCCGTCCCCAGAAAGATCCCTTTGTGAGATGGGAGAGCATCTTATATCACCACATAATGATCCTTCCCTCTCGAGGGAAGCAGATGGAATGAACTGACTATTAATATTTTCCATTGTTTGTGAACAAGCTACACAAAACTATACATTTTGCAGAAGGGCTACATATTGCCACATGTACACATACTGTGTGAAATAACGTCACATAATATTTGTAATTTTACCCTAAAGACTTTTTGTCAAGAGGCATGCTTGTTAGGCAATAATGGGGAAACTTTTGCAGAGTGAGATAAGAGTCATGATTGAATGTCCCCATAGCCAAATAATAAAGGGTCAGCACACTTCCTACGTGGGATGGTAACCTGCTGGGTACATACTTGGCTTCAGGGTCTGGGCGTTCCACTCTGTCACCTGCCCCTAATCACCAAGAGGACAGCACAAGTCAATGTCCTCTTCAGACAGTAGTAGCGTGCTACCTCCCAGCCGAAGGCGGGAAACCGAGGAATAGCAGTCTAATAGTAAAAAATGAAAGGACGTCTTTTACTAATATCTGACACATGGGGACTAAAGGAGTCAAAGTTAGAATAAGCAGGGGTGAGTCAGCCTTAATTCTGCCAAATCCAAAAATTGTTCCTGAAATCTCTCTTCCCCATAAGCCACCATCCTTTTCTTAATCAGAAAGGGGCCACTTCCATCACAAAAGACCAAAGGCACAAAATGAGGGTTCATCTGTGTGGACCAGCCACAAATCAAAGCTGCTCAAGTGCCCACATGTCACTTAATATCTGAGACCTCCAGCCTAGGAAAGGTCATCTGCAGGCACTTCCTCACAAACCTGTATCTTCCAGAATATGCTCGTAGGTTCCACTGGGGTCCACACATGGCTAGCCTACCTAACTCCTTAGTTCCCAAAGACACTCATAATGAGAATGGGAAGCAGGCAACACCCACAATGCACCTGTCCTTCCCATGGTTTTCACCTACCCCGCTTCTTGCCATCAGAGCCCCTGTTGTCCCAGCCTCTGAGGTCATTACCTGACCAAGATTGGCCACACTTTTTCTTTAGTAACCTTGTTTTCAGTTCTAACGAGTACCCTTCAGTGTTTTTAGTTCTGAAGACTCTTCTATAAAACTTGGGGTGCTGAAGTTCTAAGACTCGGCCTCAATATTAAAAGAGACGCGTGAACTCATCTTCAATGGGGCGTTTGATACTGGCTTGGCTGCCCGAGCTGGGCAATAGTTCTTTCCAGTCATACTTTCTTCCAGAAAGCCTAGAGGATAATTCCACTGCCTGCAGGTATTTGAGCAATAAACGTGTGCAGAAAACATCACTCACTCTTCCTTAGTGACCAACCCCTGGCTTTGTCTGAGAGCCAGGAAGTCACCCAGAAATGGGGATGGGTTCAGAACCAGAGAATCTGCATCCAGGTCCCAACTACACCACTGACTGACCATCAGTCTTAGACTAGACTCTTGATGTTCCTGGAGCTTCATTTTCTTAGCATGAATTTAATAAATCTAGGTTCTCAACATAGTTGTATAGATTCCATGTTCATGTAATACATTTTGAGGACTAAGGAATGTCTGCTTCTAATTAGCTATTAATAACAACAATTTTTTAAATATATATGTATGTGCTTTTCCAAAAATTGTTTCCACTAAGAAAAAATGATAAGGATACAAGAGTCAGATTAAATAATGTTTCAGAATCCTTTTACCAGCAAAATTAAGTGGTAACTTCACCTGGGATGGTGGCAGAGGTCTACTTAAATTGAAAAACTAAATATTAGAGACTTGAAATAATTGCATATCAAAATGTAAAAACAATGAGCTCTTTATCAGTAACTTGAGATTTTAGCTCTGTCTTCTACCCACAAATAAACAGAGAAATATTTGTTAGAGAGATGAAGATGTGTGCATGCTGTAAATAATATGGGTGGATGGGGAGTTTTAAAACTGTCTTCTGTGTAGCTGGAACTTGCCATGTATTTTAACCCTTTGCCCCATGTTTGAGGTGATCCTCAGAAGAATCTTTGTGGAGAGGATGGAGCAGAAGGAAGCCAACAGTCTCAGTCAGGATTTAGTTTCATCTTTCTCGACCTCCCAAGTGAGCACTTATGGTCCCCGAGCCACCTCTCTACTTCTTCTGAAGAAGGAGCTGTAGTCGTGGCCACTGAAGCAGTCACCAGGTGCTCTCAGCCCTGGCTACTCGGCTAGAGTAGGTGGCATTTCTATTTCTGAGGTACATCATTTCTCTGAGCCTTGGCTAATCTGTAAAACAGGTTGCTACCTTGCAAAGATGTGGTAAGGATTTGCAAATCACATTTGTCTAGGGCTTATCATGGTGACTGGTGCATAGAAGATGCTTATTGAACGGAAGTTATTATCATCGTTTCCCTAAGGCATAGGAGTAAAGGGCTCCATTCAGCTCCTTTGAGGTCAGCCTTAGTAACCACCTCTTCCAGCATGGCATTCTAGACCCTTCTTCCTAAGTGATCCTGTAAGGAGCTGAAGGGTTCTGCTGTTGACTAGCTGTATGACCTTGAGACAGATGACCTGTCTGAGAGCACTCTTTTCACAGAGGAGGCAATGATATCTGAATGGAATCCGGAGATAGAAACACACGGAGATTTGTTTCTTCCTTGAAGTAAAAATACTTCAATTTTACTCCATATAATTGTAACTATGCCTCCAATAGTCTGGATACAAGCTCATGTGGAAGCTTAGCACAGACCCTCCCTCCCGCCTCCTCCCCTCCCTCCCAGGCTGGTCTTCAGCCAGTAGCACCTGCATGGATGTATGAGCTGTTAGGGCTGATGCTCAAACGATGGGTTGGTAGCCT